TTCACAAATAGGCCAGGTTATGTCTTCAAATCTAAACATGCAAAAATTTGTCTATACATGGTAGGGGAGGATTTGTTCTGGATTACAGTTAAAGTTTTGGATGTAGTAATTATAATTTACCAACAAATGGTAAATTATGGGCCCCCACAAATATAAGTGTACATTGTTGACTGTGTCTGTATATGTGGTGTCAGTATGTCACAAGGCATGATGTTTACCTGCAACTGCTCAGCGCTGCGTTGTGATCCAAAAATAGAGCTGTAAGAATCTGGCAGCCTGTGTTTGTGTGTGTAAAAGAGAGAGACACTAGATATCCATGTTAAGAGTCAAACTCTGACCCCTGCTGGAAAAGAGTAACGAGTGCCTCATTCAACAGCCTTTATGTGAGATGAAAACAGTGATTACATTTGGTTTCAAAATAGCACTGGCTGACTCTGTTATTCTTTTTTACAGGTACTCGGGGCACAGTTCGTAAACTGTGTGTGGAAGTGACGTTCAGCCTTTCGTTTGTGTGTGTGATGGAGGGCTTTCCTGTCCATTGACACTGCGGCACTGCCCTGCAGTCATGTCTGCATGCAACACCTTCACTGAACATGTGTGGAAACCAGGGGAGTGCAAAAACTGCTTTAAGCCCAAGAGCTTTCACCGGCCTCCAGAGCAAGCCAACGCTGCCAGTGAGAGCAAGACAAACATCAGTGCCAAACTCACAAACAGCCAGAGGAGCATTTCCTCATCCCGTGCAGGGCAGGTCCGCCCACCTGTCGCCAAGAAGCCTACTATTGCAGTAAAGCCTACCATGATGCTGCCATGCTCCCCACCAGGGTTGGACTCGGAGGGAAATGTGCCAAGGGTTATGGGAGCGCAGGTCACTAAAAGCTCACCTTTCACTGTGTGGAACCAAAACAGCCTGAACAGCTCAAGACCCACAGGGACAAACAACAACCAAGGGGAGGATTTGGTCAGGCAAGCAGAGGCATATGGTGCAATTTCCCCGCAGCCAACTAGCAGCAACAACAACGGACTGACGGATGTGCTAAAAGAGATTGCTGGCCTGGGACCTTCTCCAATCTCAAGTAGAGATGACTTCTTTGGCCGGATCTGCAGTTCATACCAGCGCTCATTAGAGAGGGGCCTTCCAGCATCAAGCTGTATCCATGCTGGGAGTAGTGGTAGAGGAGCAATGAAACGTGTTTCCCTCAGTGACAGTGCAGAGGTCATCAGCTCTGAGGGAGGACGTTTCTGTTATCCAGAATTCTCCAGTGATGGTGATGATGAGGAGGATGAGAGTGGTGATGAGGATGACGACGATGGAGAG